CCTGGGAGGCTGGTGGAAGAAGAAAATGATGGAACAGATGTTGGAAGTGAAAATGGAAGTCCAGTAATATGATATGTATTCCTGTCCCATGTGGAAGACCTCTGAATCTTGGGTATTTACAGCTCTAAGAGTCTATCATTTCATGACCCCTGAGTTCAAGTCTTTCTCCCCATAGTTGGGTCCAATTGTTGGTCTGGCCATGTTTCTTATAGCAAAGTCATGCAGGGATCAAAACTCATGACACTTCCTCATCCTGAATCTGGAAACCAGAGTCTCTTTTTGTATTAGACACACCAGTGTCATGATCACAATCTTAGGCTGCCAACTCAGGTGGGCAAGAAATATATATTTACTGACCTAGTCACTGAATGTGGAAAGTAGAACAATGGCCCCTAAAAGATATTCAGTCATCCTTGTCCCCAGAGGCTGTGACCATATGGCAAAGGGGACTTAAACTGGTACATGGAATTAAGGTTGGTTATCAGCTGACTGTAAGATTATTCTGGGTTATGCAGGTGGGCCCAATGTAATCACAGGTGTCCTTAAAAGTGGAACAGGGAGTCAGAGAGGGAGATGTGACTGTGGAACATCAGAGTGATCCAATGCTTGAAGGACTTGACCCCCCATTACTGGCTTTGAAGATGGAGGAAGAGGCCTCAAGTTGAGGACCTGGGGAGGCCTGCAGAAGCAAAAAAAAAAAAAAAAACAAAGAAGCAAATTCTACCCTAGAGTCTCCAAAAGAAATACGGTCCTGTAGATGTCTTGGTTTTAGCACAGTGAGAAAAAGTATCATACTTTTTTTTTTTTTAAAGATTTTATTTATTTATTTGACAGACAGAGATCACAAGTAGGCAGAGAGGCAGGCAGAGAGAAAGAGGGGGAAGTAGGCTCCCTGCTGAGCAGAGAGCCCAATATGCAGCTTGATCCCAGGACTCCAGGATCATGACCTGAGCAAAAGGCAGTTGCTTAACCAACTGAGCCACTCAGGTGCTCCCATTTTTGCTACTTTAAAAGTAAATGTTTCCAATAGAGAAATGGGAATGACAAACCAAAAACAAAAGAAATTAATACAAAGCCATATTTTCATTACCCAATGATAATATCCACTAGTAACAGATTTCTTTACAATTTTTCACCTTTTTCCTTATATTTATTTATTTATTTATTTTAAAGATTTTATTTATTTATTTGACAGAGAGAGAGATTACAAGTAGGCAGAGAGGCAGGGCAGAGAGAGAGGGGAAGCAGGCTCCTTGCAGAGCAGAGAGCCCAATGTGGGGCTTGATCCCAGGACTCTGGGATCATGACCTGGGACAAAGGCAGAGGCTTAACCCACTGAGCCACCCAGGCGCCCCTATAATTAATTTTTTAAAAAAAGATTTGTTTATTTATTTGATGGACAGAGATCAAGTAGTCAGAGAGGCAGGCAGAGAGAGAGGAGGAAGCAGTCTCCCCGCTGAGCAGAGAGCCTGATGTGGGGCTCCATCTCAGGACCCTGGGTTCATGACCTGAGCTGAAGGCAGTGGCTTTAACCCACTGAGCCACCCAGGCACCCCCCAGACTTTTAATCTTCAGCACTGCAAGAATTTGTGTTGTTTTAAGCACTAAATTTATGGTACTTGTTACAAAAGCAAAGGAAACTGACACCCTGAACTTCATCATCATTATTTGTCTCCCTTCAACTAGGTAGTAGAAAGTTACACCAAGCCAATTCAAGATTTCCTTTCCCCCCAGGATTGTTGCTACATGCTAGGGGCAGGGTTAATGGGTGCCAAGAGATTAGAGTGGGGTATCTGGTCCTTGGTTGTCATCGATCCACGCTGGTGTCCTCTAAAGAAGTATATTGTATTGACTGATTCTCACCCGTGACTGTGTCATCCTTCACTCCTGACTTTAGGGCCTCTCCCAGCCTGGCTTCTGCTGTTAAGTACTTGTGTGTTACTCTCAAAGTAGGGAGGAATGGCTGCTCTCCAACCTCACTCTGAAAACCCAAGAAATGCTGGGCAGCTGGGTCTGCCCTTTCTGTCTAGACGTGCCCTGTGGCTTTCACCTCTATTGCTCCTTCTCTATGCTGGGTATTGGAGAATTCCTAGTGGGAGGCTCCAAGAAAGGGAGATGGTGTCTCTGTCTCAGATTTCCTAGGGTGGAAGAGCTCTTCTTAAGAAGATACCAGCTTCTATCCCCCTTTATTCCCATCCAATTCTCTCTCTCTCACCCAGGCTAGAGAAGTTTCAAATCTTTGGGGGTAGCAAAATCTGCCAGGAACTACCAAATATTCTTCTAAATCTGTTTTAAGTCTGCACCTTGCTTATAAATCAGATTCCTTTGCTCATTGATTCCAATGGGACACCCCTCTCTTGAAGACTACTCTTGAAGACTACTGGATGGTCCATGGCTTCCTGCCCAGTGGGGAGGGCTATGAGATAACAGGAAATATCTAGGAAGGGGAAACCTTGATTAAGAAATACCTCCAGATATTTTCCCTCTCTATCAGCAGTGCTATCGGCCAGTCATTGTCACATTTGCAAGAATGCAGTCCTGACCACCATGACTATGACTGGGATGGGATGCAGAGGACCAGAGAAGTATGGGGTGGCTGGGTGTGAGAAAAATCTGTGGCAGAGTCATCAGGAAAACCAGACTGTCCAGTCTGGAATGTGAATCAGGAATTGGGGAGTGGCCCAGTTGGCTGCTAGTGATTAGGGAGGCAAGAGGAGCCACAAAGAGAAGCAGAGACACTGATGATCACAGCAGGGAAGAATAATGGGAATGGTCCACAGTGTCTCTTGTAAGGGAAGAGCCTCCAACACCAGGTCCCTGAAAGCTTGTTGGCCCAAAGCGCTAACAGCAGCCTTTTCTGGATGCCAAGAGATCCCTATTCTCCTCAGGCTCAGGTGGCCGTACAACCATCCTATTACTTGAGGCAGCTAAATGGAGCTCTAACACTACATTTCATCTTATTGATTCCAAAGACCTTGTGTCCCCCAAAATTCATACATCGAAGTCCTAACCCCCAGTACCTCAGAATTTGACCTTATTTGGGTGTAAGAGGTGATTCAGGTTCAGTGATATCATGGGGTTGGGCCCTCCTCCAACGTGACTGGTGTCCTCATAAGGAGAAGATGTCTCTCTGGACGTAGCTGGGTGCAGACATGTCCAGAGAGAAGACCATGTGAAGATGGATGGCATCCACAAGCCAAGGGGAGAGGCCCTGGAGGAAACCAATCCTGCTGACCCTTTGAGCTCATAGACTTCCAGCCTCCAGAACTGTGAGAAAATGCTTTTCTCTTGTTTAAGCCGACTGGTCTGAGGTACTTTGAATGCAGCCCTAGCAAACTAATGCAGGCCTTAAAACCCTTTTTCCTAGGGCCACGCGGTTGAGGGAGAACAGCTTTGAAGGGCAACAGGAATTTTCTTTCTTTTTATTTTTCATTTTTGCCTGCTCCTGGGAGTTACTTTGGAAAACACCCCTCCCTCCCTCCTAGATGGAAAATGGTGGCCTGTCTCCCAGCCTACCCCTCCCCCATTCTTCTTTATGCTTCAGTTTCCTGATTGGATTTCTAACCCCAAAAACGTTTGATATCTTTATCTTGCAAGACCAATCAAAGCTTTTGGTGGGGGAGAAAAACACATCTCCAAACCGTATCCAGAGGCTTCTTTCATGCTCTGGCTCTGAATTCAGATCCTCCTCAGCCACAAACCTGGTGTCATGACCTCTCCAGATATTTCTGGGGTACAAAATCCTTCCCACTGCCTCTAGAGCAGTGTTCCAGAAGTATCAAACCTTTATCACTCGGTGCTCACAGGAAGATGTTAGGTGGTATGCAGAGAGACGTTTTCCATGCTGATGGTTATGCATTTATTTTCATGCATGGCAGAAAAAAAGAAAGCCAGCACACCAGACTTGTGATTTCAGGTAGTGTTGTTTACGCGGAGGCTAACACAGGTGTTCGGATGTACTAAGTACTACTGACACAAAGGATATGGCAAAAATCGGGCATAAGAACGGCGGAAGCTTTGGGGAGTAAGGCTGTCACAGGCAAGCAAGGGCAGCATTGATGGCTGAGATGGCAGAGGGGGATGGACCACAGGCTTGGGAACAGGTGGCTTGGGAGGCGGCAGGCGTGGAGGGGCAGGAGAGGTTTCCTGTCTGCCCCCAGGTCTCGGTTCCTCCCTCTCTGTGATTGCCCCCAGATAACCTGACCTCCCATGTCTGGGTGGCAAGGCTGCAACACACATGGAACGTTGCCAGGGAAGCCAGAAAGGACCTGGGGAATCCGTGCTGCTGTGGGGGCTTCTGCTTCCGAATGCGTATGTGTTTCTGAGGCAGGACGGGGCTTCATTTTTCCCAAACTCCCTGGTCTTGTCAGAGGCTAACAACCTCAGCTGTGAAATGAATTTGACTCCCTCTGTTTATGCATGAGACAAACGCAAGCCCTTTACCTGAGCCCAGCCACTCAGCAGCACCCCTGCAGGGAACACAACTGTCACAGACAACGACAGAACCCACCCCACTGAGAAGCCGAAGGTGGCATCCCAGTGAGGGCGTGGAGGAGAGGAGGCAAAGACACAGGGGGTACCTGCAAATGGTCAGTCTGTGCAGCATGGACATTCAGGTAAGTGTGGAGGCCTGTGTCCCCAAGCACAGGGTGACACGCCAGCAGCCGGTTAGGGTGCGGCTACCTCTCCCTGTGCAGCTGAAAGATCACTTAGCTGCAAATAGTTATGACTCCCTCATTTGACTGAGTTTTAGCTTGTTAGTTCTAAGGAGCTGTTAAAAAATTGAGTATTATGGGAAAGCATGCAACTGTGTGGGCCTTTTCTGATGTAACTGTACGTCTCTGGCTATATTCATCCAATGGCATTTAAGGCTCATTAAATTTTGAATCCTGTGTCACCTGCCTTCGGCTCAAAATAGTTCTCCGTGTGCCTTTTGTCTCTCAACTCCATTTTAATGGAAATCGTTCCCATTCACCTCTCTGTTCCCTTCTTCCTGCTAGAGACACCCGAGCTTTAATAATCTCCAATGCCGAATTATTCACTCTGTGACCCTGTCATTTGGAGAATACATTGGACGCTGGCGGATGTAAACAGCTGATGGTAAAAAAAATGTGGGGGTTGCTAGTAGAATGTTCCTTCTCCTCCTCCTCCCTGTTCCGGCCATCCGCAGGGATGCCCCAGCACCTGCTCACCGACAATGTTGCCACTACTGGTAGCTGTGTCAGAAGGTGGGTCATGTCTCCTGTCTCAGCACCGGAAAGTTTCTGGGTCTAACACAGGAGGAGCACACACCCCATCTAAAGGCAGCAGCCGTTAGTCATAATAAATAAATCTCACATAGCCCCTGTTAAGTGCAAGGTACCATTCTGAGTGCTTATAACTGGATGACTTAGGGAACTGTCCCCCTTTGGTGTAGATGAAATGACTGAAGCACAGAGAAGTTAAGTGAATTGGCTGAAGTCACACAGCAATTAAGCTCTGGATTTGAACCCAGACCATTGAAGCCAGAAGCCATACTTGTAGCCTCTTCCCTAGACCTGCCACTACACCTCTCCAACTGATGATTTCCACCTAATATCGGACAAGAATTGCATGTTTTTGTATTTTTTCTGAGAATCCAGAAATCTGATTTCATTTACATGAAATGTCTCAATTTTTTAAAATCGGCAAGAAAAAAATCATTTCTTTTTAAACTCTTCAAGGGCCAAGCAAAATGCATCTATGACCAGGAACTGGTGTGTATGCTACCTGTGTGAGACCTCCGGTCTAAATGAACTTTTTTTTCCCCCCAGTGGAAATGTGCTATAAAACACTATTTATATTATTCTAAAATGTTCTTACAGTATTTCTTTCTCTCTCTCTCTCTCTTTTTTTTTTATTATGTTATGTTAGTCACCATACAGTAGCTCATTAGTTTTTGAACTCTTCAAAGAGAACCAAACAGCCATCAAATTCAAACCTGTCTGCTCCCACAAGAAACTTTCTTCCCTTGGAGCTGACAGAGAGCCCAAAGAGAGGGCGGATCCCAGGGCCGGAAAATCAGAAATTCACCGTGCCTCACAGAGCAGGCGGCTTCTCCAGTCATGACTGCTACGCTGCTCGAAAGAAGGGTTCAGGGAACCTGCCTTTGTGATTGGTTGACACCCGCACAACGTTCAGTTGATGCTGCAAGTGTAGCAACCAGCACCAGAAGTGTCAGCTCTCATTAGCCGGCATATAAATCTGCCTCCCTGAGAAGTGGGATGAGAGAACCACAGAGAAAATGCCAGGAAGCAGGAACATATGTTGATCACACAAAGAGAAGCTCCGACAATGGGCGTCTTCCTCCACAGCCCAGGCACCTGGAACAGGAACGCTTTGTTTTGCCTCAGCCCTTGGTGCCCCTGCAACAGGAGGCTGGGCAAATGTGTTCCACCATCCGTGGTGGGAGGTTCTGCTAAGTGTTTGCTGACACAGCTGAATAGTCGTAAAATGTCATAAAGAGTAAATGACTTGATAATGCAAACCAGTCATTACCGTGTGGTACATGTTCATGCTATTTACGTATTTTAACACCCTGGTATTGACCTGCCTTTCCAAATAGTACATAAATGCTCTAGGCTTTGGGTAATTCATTCCCAGCAGCCACAGATAGGCATCTCTAGAAGGAAATGCCCCTTCCCCTTCCTCTTTCCTCATTTTGGATCTGCATTCCTGGAGGCTCACCTGGCAGTGATGAAGTTTAGAATATAGATGAGGTCCAGTGGGGTGGACTCCGGAGCCCACGACCGAGAAAGGATTCTTGAGATACCTTTGGTGCAACGGGGACAGGACCTGTGGGCAGGAAGAGCGGCTGCCCCGGGTTGTGAGGGGTGGCTGGTTATATACTAAGGGGTTGGGGACTAAAGAAAAAGGGAGGTTTCAAAAGAACTTTCATATGCTAAAGAGGGCCTACAAGATACCAGAGGCCTTGAGGCCTTGCCATTGTCAGTTTAAGGTTGTTTTGCCCCTCTAGCAAAGTATTAACATAAGATGGGAAATTCCTGGAAGAATGTCACACGTGTCCCACCCACGAGTGAGTGTGGGGGGGATGGGGGGGTGGGGGGGTTGCAGGGTGTCAGCCTGTGCTGTCCTCAGCTGGCCTTCTGGTCCCTCATCAGCGGGAATGTGGCCAGTGGAATGCGGGTGTGGATACCATTGGAGGAAACTCAGGAGAAGCTCTGCCTTTTGCAAGACATCTTACTGCTCGCGGTCTGAAGGGCCGGGAGGTAATCAGCATGCTGATACATGGGTAAAAACAGATCTCCAAAAAAAAAAGAATCCATGATTTGTAGTTTGCCGGTTTCCATGGAGTAAACACTTCCACCATGGTGAGTTTCAAGCTTCCAACACAGAACACAGAGTTGGGAAGAGATGCACACATTCTGCTCTGAGGAGCCAAGCTTCCTCTAGAACACTGTTAGCTGGAGGTCATGGGCCTGGTATCTAATTGGCCTCAGCCCCTCCCTGCATGCAGATGAATATGATGTGACCATAGGTATAGAATTATGCTCCATTCCGTATATTTCCTAAGATGCCAAGCCCCACATCTCTTATTGTGCAAAAGAACTTTAGTTGGGGAGCTGGTAGGAAATCCCATTCCAGACCTGGAGTGGGAAGGAATATCTGCAGGGGGACTCAGCAATCTGCCCTCAGCCTCGAGGGCTCGTACTCACCACCTCTTATTCTCAACTCAATGCTCTTTGCACTAGAGCCTTTCTTCTGTGCATCCTGATTGCTACCCAGTAGACATAGCCGTCCCTTTTGCCTCACCGGGTCTCCTCCCTCACTGGGCCCCGTGTGTGTGTGTGTGTGTGTGTGTGTGTGTGTGCGCGCGCATATTGGAACACGGGGCCTGGCAGCCTCCCAGAGCCCTGCATGGTGATGATGGTTGCCAGGTAACAAGAAGGCATCATGGCGGGGAGCCATCCTTGACAGTTACAGGTAAATGGGTGCCGCAGGGAATAGAGCCTCCCTGGAGGAAGAAAATTGGCAATGTCTGATGTGAGGGTCTTGAGTCAGAAATGGGGTATACAACCCAAGGAGGGGGGCCGGGGAGACATTGTGGCTAAAATAGACCTTGAAGAGGAGCTGGTTCATGCCCATGTGTACTCAGAAGGGAAACTGAGACCTGAAGCTAGGAAAGGACTTGCCCAAGCTCACATCATTCGTTGGTGTCAGAACTAGGGCAACTGGCAGTGGATGACGCAGGATGTGAGGCTCCCATTGAACATCACCGAACAGGAAAGAAGCCTCATATGACAAACCAGCCCCAAACACCAAGTGCTGGAAGTTTAACAGTAACATCCATGGCTGCATGTCTGGAATGAGTTCTGCAGTGCTGTCCCTGTGCACCGAGGAGCCTTTCCAGCCCTTCCCACGCCAGCCCCCAGGGGAGGGGAGAGAGCCAGGAAGCAGCAAGATGGTGGAGAAGAAATGATGCTCACGTCATGGTGTTGGGGAGGGGAAGAAGTTCCGAGGGGTCACTCGGCTGAACAGATGGCCAGCAGATATTGGTTTCAACCCTCACATGGTTGAGTAAATAATGTTTAAGTTTTTCTTGCCAGCCTGGGGAGCTGAGCAGATCACACCGAGTGGAGGTACCTCCACCTCCTGCCCGCATCATCTGCTCTTCCCGGGGTTTTCATTTCCTACCCTGTTTGTGCTTTAGAGCATGGCTGGCTGGTCAGGAAGCCTGTGCCCTTGGAGGCAGGCGTATGTGTGCAGGAAGAGAGAGGGAGGAGGTGGAACAGGGCAGGGGGGCACGGGCAGCCTGGCATTTGATTACAGCATGTGCCTGGATAGCACCTGTCAGGTTAAATCACAGTCAAGGGCATCACAGGCGAATTGCCTGGGTGGGTGGGTGGAGGGGGGGATTGGTCGTGTCTTAATTCTTGATAACAAAGAACCTCACAAGACAAAACCAAAGGGGTGCCCTTGATCTGCCTGCCAGTAGGATGGTTTCTCCATCCACCGATCAAAGAGCTGGATCTGGTGAAACTTCCAGACGAGACTCCTGTGTTCTGACCCTGACTCAGCCACTCACTGGTCTTAGGCATTTCTCTTAATTCCTTGGAGCCTTGGTTTCTCTCCGCATCCAATGAGGATGTTGGCATTGGCCCGGACTATCTTCAGGGGGAAGACATGATTGAATGAATGACATGTGCAAGAATTAGGAGGAAGAAGGGAGACGCACGAGATGGATTAGGCCAAAGAATCTCTGGTACAGCAAAAACAGATTCACTCAACCAACATTTCTAGCCCCAACTTGATCAGGCCTTAGAACACAGAAATGAAGAAGGCACAGCCCCATGCCCAAGGAGCTCACCTCTGAGTGGGGAGACAGATAAAGGGGTGGAGGCCAAGAAAATTAAGGCCATCTCACCTCAGGTTTAGCTGATGTGGGAAACAGAGGCAGAAGAAAATCATTAAAATTCCTCCCCTACTGACAAGCCCTTGAAACAGACAGAGTGGCTTTCCCCTGGGGACTCAACTGCCCTCACCTTGAGGTTTTGCTAAGGACAGTCCTAGCCTGAGCAACCCTCTACCCAACAGGTCCGACCAGGATCCTGTAAGTCTACTTTAGGAAACTTTATCTCTAAACCTCCAAGATAGTGTCGAGAATCATTCCCAAGCATATGGCCCACTGATATACATCTAAAGGGTCTCACAAGAAGATTTTTATTATTGGTAATAAATAATCTTTCTCCCAACAATAGCTAGCCCCTCAAGGTCCTGGAGACCTTGCTTCCAAAAATTCTTGGAGACTTACATCATCCATAATCCCCTTTGTCCTCACGCATCGCCGAGTCCACCCCTACTCTGCCTTTAAAAACTCTGACTGTAATCTGGTTGGGGGTCCAAGTCCCTACTCCGTTGTGTCAGGTATACTTGGGCCTAAGCTTAAGCTTGTCAAATAAACCCTCGTGTGATTGCATCAGCTCCTTGGTGGTCTCTCAGACACAAAAACTCGGGCATAACAAAGGAACAAAAAAAGCACAAGAGTCACACTGCCCAATCTCACATTTCTGTTTGTCACCAACATGCTGCGTAACCTTGGGCTGGTAATCTCTGTGCCTCAGTTCCCTCATCTATATAATGGGCATCATGATAGTAGCTACCTCACTGAGCTGTCTGAGGACAACAGAAACATAAGCAAAGCCAGTAACAAGGTGCTCTGACCCATGGCAAAAGCTCAACAAATGTCAGCTCTTGTTATTACCAAGTTTTATGGCAGTGATAGCTCGTGATACTGGGAAGCACAAGAAGAAATGTCACCCCGGCCTTGGTAGGGGGATGGTCAGAGAGGGTTTGTGGAAGACTCAGCTGAATCTTAAAGAGCAAGCTAAGGGTCATCCAGGAAAAAAGCAAGTTCATTCAACAAATACTGTGGAGCAAGGACTTTGGCAAGAGTGGAGAGTAAGACAGACAGGGTCTCTGTGTTTTTGTATCTCTCATTCTGGATCTGGGGCCAGTAAACTGGTAAGGGTCAGACAGTAAATGTATCAGGCTTGTGGTCCATACAGTTTCTGCCACAACCACTCATCTCTGCTGTTGTCACATCTGTGAAAGCAGCCACAGACAATACAGAAATGAATGGGTATGGCTGTGCATTCATAAAACTTTAATTTTGAGGATGTTAACTAGATTTAATGTGGTGATCATTTCGCAATGTATACAAATACCAAATCATTATGCCATATACCTGAAACTAATATAATGTTATATATCAATTATATCCCAGTAAAAACCTTCAATTTTGAGCACTGAAATTTGAATTTCATATCATTTTCACACCATGCCAAAATTACTTTTCTTTTTTACCTCCAAACATTTAAAAATATAAAAAAACATTCTTATGTTCTGGGCCATACCAAAAATAGCTTATTTAACCCATGGGCCATAGTTTTCAGAGTCTCGTTTTAAAGTAACAACAGACACAGAATCAACAGAAACATGAAAATATTGGGTAGCACTAAGGAGATAATTACTCCTAATACTATGAGGCAACCATGAG